TCCCCGGCCCTGGTTGGTTGTGCGGATGGCAGCCACTCGATGTGTCCCTTCACGTCGATGTTTTTCTCTCTCTCTCCCTTCCTCTCTCTCCCTCCCATTCTATCTGTACAAAAAATGGAAAAATATCCTCGGGTGAGGATAAAAAATATATATATAAATGAAGGTCCTTCTTTTTTTTATCCTCACCTGAGGATATTTTTCTGTTTATCTTCAGATAGAGTGGGAGGGAGGGAGAGAGAAAGAGGGAGACAGAGAGAGAAACATTGACATGAGAGGGACACATTGACTGGTTACCTCCCACACAACTCTGAACAGGGCTGGGGATGAACCACAACCAAGGTACGTGCTCTTGACTGGAATCAAACCTGCGACTCATTGGTCCGAGGGCTGACGCTTTAACCACTGAGCCAAACTGGCCAGGGTGAAGGTCCTTCTTTTTGAGAAGAATAACAACCTATGTCTCAAGCTTAATGATTTGTGCTTTTTGGCTTTCTTAGTTAATCTCAGAACGTTGTTCATCTCGTTTCTTATTGTCTTAAATACATTTTTTTATCTATTTCATTACAGAATCAGACTTTCTATTTCCTTTCCATTTTTTTTTTTTTTTTTTTTTTAATCCTCACCCGAGGACATTTTTCCATTTTTCACTCAGAGCGGGAAGGAGAGAGAGGAAGAGAGAGAAACATCGATGTGAAAGGGACACATCGAGTAGCCGCCACCCACACGACCCAACCAGGGCCGGGGACAAACTGCAGCCAAGGTACATGCCCTTAGCGGGAACCGAACCCGGGTCTCTGTGGACCGCAGGCTGACGCTCTAACCGCTGAGCCAAACCGGCCAGGGCTCCTTTCCATTTTTATGCTTCCCTCTTTCACATTTTATGATCCCCTTTTCATTTCTTCTAGCTTCTCTAGATATTCTGGGATCATCTTTTTCCTTCATTCCCTTTGTTACTAAATTGTATCTTCTTAGAATGTCTCATATTTTTTGTTCTCCATTTCTGAATAGAATAGACATTCATCATCTCATGCCTGGATTAATAAAAAAACCTCTTAGCCAGTGTTCTTTTTGCTAGTTTTTCTTCACTCTTTTTGCTGGACTAACTTTACTAAGCTACTAGTTTAATGTATTGCTTCTGTGTGCCTGACATATGCTAGATACTTAGTATATGTAGAAGGACTGATAGATTGAATAGTTCTTCTTTGCTTACCAAATCAAAGTCCCAAATTGTTTTACAGCTTTATTGCAATATAATTGACATATAACATTGTGTGGGTTTATGGTGTACAATATGTTGATTTAGTCCCAAACTTCTTTTTTTTTTTAATCCTCACCCGAGGACATTTTTTCCATTTTTTGTTCAGATAGAGTAGGGGAGAGAGAGAGAAACATCGACGTGAAAGGGACACATCGAGTGGTTGCCACCCGCACGACCCAACCAGGGCCGGGGACAAACTGCCTTTGCTCTAACCGCTGACCCAAACTGTCCAAGGCCGAAACTTCTTTAATTGGCTTTCCAGAGCTTTCATGGTCTGGCCCCAGTCTGCATTTTCAACATTGTTTCCTACTACCTCCTAAAAAGCATCTTCAGTTCTATTTAATCCCAGATTTTTGTTGCCATTATCATAATTCTAAATTCTTTTTGCTTTTGCTCTCCTCCATATTCCCTATCCCTACTTGGAATGCCTTTTCTCAATTCATTTGTATTAAATAGTATTGAGGCAGGAAACAGATGGCACACTGGAATGGGTCACTGAGCAAAGTTTAATGAAGCTATTTACAAAGTTCTGGGTAGAGTTAAGGGAAACCAATAAGGGGGTATGATAGAGAAGCACCCTGGGATAGAAGCTGTGGGGGAATGATATGCCACCTAGCCCTGGAGGGGCAGGGGAAGGAAGCAGATACTGGAAGCTAGAGAGAGCTGTAGGTACAGCTGTAGAAGTGCAGTTCAGAAGCTGTGACCTCTGGTAAAGGTAGAGAGCTATTGCTAATTTATGGTCCTGTACGGAGAGAGCTGGGGAAATACCTCAATCTCTCTCTCTTCCTAGCATACTGATTTACTGGGGCCTCCCACAGATTGAACCCATCCAGGAGCCAGAGGGCAAGAGAACCTGTTAGCTGTATGCACAGATACCAGCCACACAGGCCACAGAGCAGTGTGGGAAAAAGGTGGAGAGAATCAGGAGGGACAAATGGGACAAATATCCTCCTGATTCTTCAAGGCCTACCTCCTTCATTCAAACTTTTTTCATTACTCAGTTCCTGGTGATTGTTCTTTTCGTACCAGACATTGATTTGTCTGCCTGCTTTTCTGAGAATGAAGCCCATCTCCTGACCCACATGGCTACTTTAGCAGTAGTTATTTTATGTAGTGCACATAGCAAAAGGGGATATGTGAACTAAGACCAGTGAATTCTTTCTCCTGGATTCTGAACTAGGGGTTAAATAATCAGGCAAGTTTCCGTCTGAGTGGCTAAGGCTGTAACATGTAGAACTCTGGAGATACTGGTACCCCTGTTTTCTGCTGCTCCTTTTTAAGCTTCCTTGATGCCACACTCTTGGTTTTCCTCCTTCCTCAGTTAATTGTACTTCTCAGCCTTCTATACTAGCGATTTTTCTAATCCTGAATGTTGGAGTTTTTTAGGACTCAGTCATTTGCCATCTTCTCTCTCTCTTCTTTTAAGAGTTTGTTTATTTATTTATAACTGAAATTTTTATTGAATATATTGGGGTTGATACTGATTAATAAAATTATATAGGTTTCAGGTGTACAAGTCTATAATACATCGTCTGTATATTGTGCATTCATCTTTTGTCTTTTACCTTAGAACTCTAAATGATTGTACTGGTTTCCATAGCTTTAAGTACAATTTTAAAAACTAATACATGAGAAATATATATTTTAGAGAAAAAAAATAAAAGATACTCAATCACCACAATGAAGATTTTTATTTAAAAATTCCAGAGAATTGCACCACCCTAGTGAACCAACTTTTTTCTACAAAAGAGCTGTTTATCATTATTTATTCAGTTCTTAAATACAGCCTTTTAAAAACTGAAGTATATTAGTCAAGTTTCTTAATTGTAAGGTGGTTTTCATCAGAAAAGGAATTTGGATGTTGGTCATCTCAGACTTAGACAATGGTCAGAAACAAGGGAAGCTATGCAGTATCCAAGACCACAGCATAAGACCAATTTCCAGTACTGAGGACTGTGCACCGCAGCTTGTATATCACTGTTGACCGTAGTGGGAGCTGCTGCTGCTGCAGTGGTATCACTGTTTCCTATGGAAGCTTGAAGTTCTTAGCACTGCACCTGTTGTCTACCAACATGTGGATTTGTAACAGTTCTTGTTCTTTGTGATACTAGTTCCCCATCCACTATCAAGACAGGTGCATCTGATTAGCAGAGCCTGGTCTCATACTTATCAAACTGGCATTTCAGCTTGTCTAGTGGATGGTGAGCTTTTATATTGTAGAGCTTATAAAATTCAAAGGGAGTTCAGATGCTGTGTAGTCAAAAGAGTGAAAATCAGATCCTTGCGTTTTTAATATAATCAGCATACAGAGGACAGCAGTAGAGTAAGAGAAGTTTTTATTTCAGGATTTTAATGTGTTTGGGGTGTATCTGTTATGTAACTTCACAAATTAAAACTTGTTTGATAGCCCCTCCAAATCTATCCTCTATTATGATTACAGAGTTATTTTTCTAAAATGCAGATCTTTTTATGTTATTCTACTCAAAATCCTTCAATGGTTAATTCTTCGTTGCCTATAGGATAAAATTAAAATTCTTATCTGGCCTATAAATCCTTTTCAATATTTGGATCCTGCCAAATTTCTATCCACAATTACCAATATTCTTCTTCCCCTTCCTCATAACATATTAGTTCTAGCCATCTCATATTGTTTCCCTGAAAAATACCATGTTCTTTCCTGTTTCTGTACCTTTGTGTTTAAATCTTTTTGCTTAGAATATCTAGTCCTTTTTTGTCTTTGCAAATTTATCTTTTAAAGACTCAATTCAAATACCATTTTTCTGTTTCTTGCCTTCCTGATGCCCTCAGCCAACTGTGTTGTTCATGTTTCTATGTATTCCCACAATATAGCGTTCATTACATTATACTGTAATCATTTCTTACACAATTTTCTATTAGATGCTCATGGACTTAGGAATTTAATCATCTGTTTATATCAGAATATTTTTATTGAATAAGTAATGAAGGAAGATATCCTACTTCTGGTTGGTTAGTGCATTTAGGTTAGTGTGCTCTTTTTAATAGCAGAGATCAAGCATTCTGTCCCTGTGTCTATTTGTGTCATTCCATAGACACAAATAATGTTCTCACCTTGGCTAATTATCTTGCAGTGGAACTAGGGGAAATACATCTTGATGGACCAGTGGCACTACCCTGATATGTGAAATATAGTAAATTATACTGATAGGTTTAAAAATGGACTGTAGCATTGGCCTATGGACCAAAGGGTCTCAGGTTGGATTCCCTGTCAAGGGCATGTACCTGGGTTGCAGGTTCTATCCCTGGCCCAGTCAGGGTCGTGCGGGATGCAGCCAATCAGTGTGTGTGTCTCACATTGATGTTCTTTCTTCCTTCCTACTTTCTACACTATCTAAAAATCAGTGGAAAAATATCTGCAGGTAAGGATTAACAACAACAAAAAGGACTTTAAAACGATCAGAAATGGCCCAGCTGGTGTGGCTCAGTGGATTGAGCATCCTCCCATCGACCGAGAGGTTCTGGTTCAATTCCCAGTCGGGGTATATGCTCTATCCCAGTCGGGTTGCAGACTCTATCCCCAGTAGGGGGCATGCAGGAGACAGCCGATCAGTGTTTCTTTCTCACATTGATGTTTTTATCTCTCTCCCTTCCTCTCTAAAAAAATTAATAAAAACATATTTTAAAAAAGAAAACTGTCAGAAACATACCTTGCTTTGATGAAATATGTATACTGAGTTTTCTGTTTCATGTTTCTTTTGTTAAGGAACTAAAGAAAGCAACCTCAGACTTGATAAAGTCCAAAGTCACATGGCAACATAAGATGGGAGAAGAAAACATCAATTTAACAATTAAAGAACAAAAATTTCAGGAACTTCAAGAAAGACTCAACATGGTATTTTATTAATGTATTCATGTTTATAAAACTTATATTTTTGTAAAATTTTTGAGAATTTCATGATTATAATACAAAATGGTCCCTTGTAAAGTTAGTATACATAGGGAAAATGGTGTTATGAATCTTTTTTAATTATTAGATTTTTGCCATTATCAATAAGAATTTAAGACAATAAAATTTGTCTATAATAATTTTATTAGCACTTTAACATGGTGTCAAATTATCTTAGGGTACAGTGGTGTCTCCAGAAAAGCTTTTGGAGATCAGAAATTCTGTGAATTGAACATTAACACATATAAGTCTGTACCAGCCTGTATTGGGTATCTAATACCACCTTTGGTTCACTAGAGTCACTACTTCAAAAGCAAACACATGTTGGCACTCATGACCCACCTAGATTTGTTGGGTACTGAATTGAATATAGAATTTGCTGAATTTTCTATCATAACCTAAAATTGTTCAAATTTTTTAAGGAATTGGACTTAAATAAGAAGATTAATGAAGAGATTACCCATATTCAAGAAGAAAAACAGGTAAGCAATTAAAAGATAGTTTGGAAGACAGTAAATATTTTTAAAACCAGATATAATATGGGGAATAAAGTTAAATAACAGATAGAATCATGCCTAGGTCAATTCCTAACACATAGTAAGTACTGAGTTAGTGTGTATTGAATGGATATATGTGTAACTTTTGAACCAGGTCTCTCACATACTTCCAATAAAAAAGAAATTGAGTTTGGCTGATGTCGCTCACTGGTTGCGCATCAACCCATGCACCAAGAGGGTGCTGGTTCAATTCCCGGTCAGGGCACATGCCCAGGTTGTGGGCCTGGTCCCTAGTGGGGGGCATGCAGGAGGGGGCCAATCAGTGTTCTCTCTCATTGATGTTTCTATCTCTATCTCTCTCTCTCTCCCCCTTCCTGTATCTCTAAAATCAATAAAGAAAAAAAAATTTTTTTGTAATAAAATAAAAATAAATCAGGAGATATTCATCAAAGGGTACAAATTTTTCATCAAAGGGTACAAACTTATAGATATAAAATGAGTAACTTCTGGGAAATTTAATGTGTGGCATGACTTTGGTTAACATACTATATTATGTACTTGAAACTCGCTAAGAGAATAGATCATACACGTTCTCACCACATATACAAAATAGTAATTATGTGAGGTGATAAAAGATGTTAATCAACCTTATTGTGGTAATCTTTTCACAATATATACTTGTATCAGATCATTACCATGGACACCTTAAGCTTAAACAATGTTTGTGTCAATTATATCTCTGTAAAGTTGGAGAAAATATTACATTAAAATATTTTGTAAATAACAAATAAAAATAAATCAGTGTTTTCCTTCATGTTTTAGACTAGTGGTATTCTGGCAGATAATTATTAAAATTTATATATACTTAAAACATATGTTTATAGGACATCATACTCATTTGAATCTATATTTATAATTCTATTTTTTTAAAAAGATATATGAAAGAAAACTGCTTTTTTTTTTTAAATTTAATCTCTTTTGCTTTTCGTCTATTTGATTCTGAATGCAGTCCATGGCATCATAGGCAATTAGTAATATGACATTTTAGCATGGATATGTTTACTAGTTTGGGGACAATCCAACAAAAGTTTTAGTTTTGAATTCTTCATATTTTTCAATAGTGTCTCAGAATCAATGGTCCATTTCAAAGAACTTTATTTGAGGAACTTTTGGAAATGGTACTCTGTAAGAAATCATGTCATATAAATTCTTTTAGGTATTAAATTAGTAAAATGTGTCATTAACTTTTTTTAGTATATTCTTTTTTTTATTGTTTTTAATTTTTAATTCCTCACCAGAGGATACTTTTCTATTTATCATCAGATAGAGGGAGAGGGAGGGAGGGAGGGAGGGAGAGAAAGAGAGAAACATTGATGTGAGAGAGACACATTCACTGGCTGCCTCCCACATGACCCGACCAGGGCCAGGGTGAACTGCAACCCAGGTATTTGCACTTGACCAGAATCGAATCTGTGACTCATTGGTCCGCAGGCCGACACTCTAACTGCTGAGCCAAACCGGCCAGGGCAGTATATTCTTTAATATGGTCTTAAAATTAAATTATAAAGATAAGTTAAGAAACTAGAAAATATATTTTAAGAAGGAATTTAGAAAGATTCCTATTAAAGTTTTTTAAATTGATATATCATATTTACACTTTTTTAAAGGATATCATCATTTCTTTTCAACATATGCAGCAGTTACTCCAGCAACAGACTCAAGCTAATACTGAATTGGAAGCAGAATTGAGGTTGCAAAGAGAAAATAATCAGGTTATATTTATATGTATATATATTTTTAAAGCATATTTTCATATAATGAGCTTTACCTGTTTATTTGTACTCATCTGTCTAACTTTATGAGATCATTTTGAATTTTAGGGATAAGACATGGGTTCCTTAATCAACTTGATATCAATGTTTAAAGTAAGGAGCATATTTTTAAACATTTAAGACACTAGTTAAATGTTCAGTTGTATCAAGTATCTGATTTAATTTTGTAACAGATTGAATGGGAATTTTTTCTTTGTCTTAGAATTGTGGCCAAGATCAAAACTGAAAATAAAAGGTGACAAGTATACCATATTCTAAGAGAATAATCAGTGAGCTCCCAGATATTGGGACAGATCCCTCTTTATAGAAATAGGATAGAACTGGCCCTATTACCTCAACATTCACCCATCATCTTCTTTCCAGTATATGTAAGAATATGATTGAGGAGGGGGAGAAGTTATGGTCACTGATGTTTGGGAGTTAGGGTTCAATGAGTGGCTTTTTTTCTTGCATTTCTAGTGGAGGGCTATGCGTTTCCTCTCGTGAAGCTACGTGAAAGAGTCTTTAGGAAAATCACTTGTAAAGATTGGGGTACAAGAAAGGCAGGGCAGACTGCCATCTTGTTTCTTAGATGAATGCTTGTGATGCTGTAGAAACCTGAATGTTCACTCTGGTGTTGCCAGTAGAATAGAATGTGATTCAGTTAATGTGGAAGGACTTGACATGTTTCTTGAGGTTTGGATAGGGACTAATGATCAGCTTTGGTCTAGAAATGTCAAGGAAGAAAGTTTTTGGAGTAATCTGTGCCAGTGGGGCTTGAAGTGTATTATGCATGTCCCAGTACTGTATGCACCTGGAAGGACACAGAAGAGAGAACTTTGGTTACCTTGGCTCCACAGGAAGAGCCATGAAGGTTAGTGGAAGGGCGGGAACTGCCCTGTGTTCTACTGGGCCAAGAGATGGGATGTCCAATTCAAGAGAAGGAGCTGAAGACATGTTCATATTGGGTCATATTGGTGGGGAGAGGCCTGTATTCTACTGATGCCCTATACCCCTGGAGGAGGCCCAGGTACAGCAGGGAGGGTCTGAGTCAAGTGCATATACCCCGCAGCATCCTCTGTCCCAGGCTGGCAGTACCTTGGCACATTAGGTAGGTGCCTTGGCAGGGAGTGAGTTCCCAGTCCTAATATGAGGTGCATCTCTTCCTTGCAGTATCTTAAATACTCTAAACGCTTCTCTCTTTAACTAGCACAATTATTACCTGAGCCTTAATAGTGTATAGAGAAACTAGATTTCATATGGTAAAATTTCAAACAAAGTGTTGGCAGGAACAGGATAGAATGTCAGCTTTTTATTTGGATAAGTAAGGACATTAAAAAACAAAAACAATACCATCTATCATCATTTTCATTTTATAAAAGAACATTTTAACATTAAAACTGTATTAAGGATATAATCTCAGGAAAAAGGACCGTCAGTTACAAGAAAAGACACTTGATGCCCTTATATTGACATTTTTGCCATGGACTAGTGAAATTTTGTCATGGATCAGTGCTTGTTTGCAGACTGGTGCTGGAGAACCACTGATATATAGTATAACAAAATATTAACGTAGAACTGTTGCTGAGGATTATGCTGCATGGATATCTCAAGTGTTTTCTCGAGCATTCTAATTCCAGCTGTATTAAAAGGGACCATTACTCTTCGTAATGGCCTGCTGTTTTTCAGTGCTCTGCAGTCATGCTGTCATCTGTCTTATTTTTTTATTGTACCATTTGGAGCATAAAGAACTAAATTCTTATGATGGAGAATATTTTCTGCTATGATTTAATTATAGTTTAGTCCACATGTAAGTATAGTTATACTGCTAAGTGTTAACAAGAATAATTTACTTAATTTGCTCCTACAGTCATAGTACTAACCAGGATAATTTACTCAGTTTTTTGTATATTAAAACCAGCAACAGATGGTTTTATTTTGGCTTTCCACAATATCCATTTTTTTTTTTTCAGCTAGGGTTTTAGATTGCTAATCCAAGTGCAAATAATACCAAATAATTTCCTGATAGAGTATACATTGCATGAGAACAGAACATTTTCACTAACAGCATTAGAGCCTAAAGAGTATTTGGCACATAGTAGGAGCTCATTAAATTTTATTAAATTAATGAATGGTTAACAATAAATTAATTCAGGCTCTTTGCAAGTTCAGATTTTTCCAGGTTAGGGCTTCTAGTTAAACATATTGAATTGAACCCACACATTCACTTCTATTTCCTTCTGAAACTGCAATAAAATGACAACAGTAAATCCACAAGGACAAGAAAATAGGGAGAGGAAACAATAAAAATAGAATTTTAAAAAGAAAACAAAAAAAGGGGAGGGGGTACCAGATGGAAAATTAGTTATGTGCTTAGTAAGTGAGAGAAAGTAGAAACCCAAATCAAAGATGCAGAAATGGCCAGAAAGTGCATGTGCCTCTCTCCCTCCCAATTGCAACTGAAGCCCAAAACGAGGTCTTTGTAAGAAGCTCTTGCACCTTCTTTTCTCTTCCCTGCCCTCACAAATAAGTACTGCAGGTCTCCCACTTGGAAGAAGATTGGAGGTATATATTGGAAGTTGGAGAGACAACTGAGATTGGAGAGATCCAGTGGTGTGCTGGAGACAGCTTTACCAGGGAGAGCTCGTTGTTAGAGCTGTTGTGGTGGGAATATTTAACACTAATGAAATTGGCAAGTGATGCAAGTCAGGGTTTTTTTGTTGTTTTTAGTTTCAATTTATTAGCTTACTACTAACAGTATTACATCGAAAACAGGGTAGAAAGACAAAATACTGAATTCTCAGACCTCCCAGCCTGGTTTCTCTTTACCGGGTAGCTAGTCTTATAACTTCAGGCAGCAGAATGGAAGATTCATTTCTGGGGAACTAACTTGCTCATGAAAAAGACTATTGCTGCCGCAGTTAAGCTCTTGCAGTGAAATAGCTCAGCCAGATCAACCTGCAGTGAAGCCCACCATTTGACAAATTTTTAACCAGATTTTTAATACTTTATTCCTTAAATATGAATAGGCAGTTAAGGATCATTGGACATTGGGAGAAAGTCTCCAAAGTGAAAAACAGACAAAACAAACAGGGTAATGAAAAACACTTGGAGAAAATAATAAAAAAGAAAAAGAAAAATACTTGGAGAAACTAAGAAAATATATCCATATAAGAGAACTATATTTATTAATCTACAAAACAAGAATTAGGAGTCTATGAAAAAGAAACATTTATAGAATAAAAGAGAACCCTTAAATATATTAGCAGACATAAAATGGAAAGGTTGGAATATAATATTGAAATAGTCTTCCAGAAAGTAGAACCAAAAGACAGATGGAAAATAGAGAAAGAAAACAGGGACTCGGTCTAATAGAGATCTGGTGAGTTTTAGAACAGAGAAAGTGGGAGGAGAGGAAATGACCAAAGAAATAATACAAGAAAGTAACCCAGAACTGAAGAATTTTTGCCCAACACCAATGCATATCATTATGAAATTTCATACTGCACATAAAGAGAAAAGTCTAAAAACTATAAAGGGAAAAAAATGGGTTGCATACTAAAGATTCAGAATGAGAGTGGCAACATAATGACTTCAGACTTCTCCATGACAATGCTGGAAGGGAGAAGATAATAGAACCAGGCCTTCAGAGGTTGAGGAGAAATTAATTTCCAAAACAGAAGTAAATCATATTCAACAAAATGAATTTTAAGTATTAGTCAAATAAAGATATTTTCAGACATAGAGTCTTAAAAATGTACTATTTATGATCCCAAATAATAGAAAGTTTGCTTTACCAAGACAATGGAATAAACCAGGAAAGGAATCCATGAAATCTAGAAAACAGGAGACTCACCACAGAGGAGGAGAGAAGGAAATCCTCAGAAATAACCTGATCAGTGTAACAGACTGAAAGAGCAATATGTCCAAATTGTAGTGGAAAGTTGGAATGTCTCAAAAAAATGGAAACTTAGAGAATACCTAATATATGCAGGTTTGTTTTTTTTTAAGATGGGGCTATGGGTGGAGACAGGAAATGACTAACATATCTAATACACTTTTAAGAACACAATGCTCTTGATCATTTATTATTACTAAGATAGAGACTTTGGTATATTCTTTCATATCTCCTCTAAACTTTGATTTGTATATATCTGAAATAGTGTTAGCAATATAGATACTATAAAATATTTGTCAGAATATTAAAGTACTGCCCTGGTCGGTTTGGCTCAGTGGTTAGAGCATTGGCCTGTGGCCCAGAGACCCGGGTTTGGTTCCCGCTAAGGGCATGTACTTTGGTTGCAGTTTGTCCCCAGCCCTGGTTGGGTTTGTGTGGATGGCAGCTGCTTGATGTGTCCTTTTCACATCCATGTTTCTCTCTGCTTCTCTCTCTCTCCCCCTCCCTCCCACTTTATCTGACCAAAAAATGGAAAGGTGTCCTTGGGTGAGGATAAAAAATAATAATAAAGTACTAAGTACCCATGAAATATACACCATTGTAAATATTTAGAAATTGCCCTATTATGATGTGTACCTATAAATTAAGAAGAAAACATGACTTCTATAAAAATATTTACATTAGCATGGCCAGTATGGCTCAGTGGTTGGGTGTTGACCCATATACCAAGAGGTGACTGGCTTGATTCCTGGTTGGGGCACATGCCCAGGTTGTGGGCCTGATCTCCAGTGGGGGGCATGCAGGAGGCGGCCAATTGATGTTCTCGTTCATCAGTATTTCTATCTCTCTCTCCCTCTCCCTTCCTCTCTCTCTAAAATCAATAAAGAAAAAAAATTTTTTTTTAAATTTACATTATCCTAAAGTAGAGGCATCCAAAATAGGTATTCATTGAGTGCTCTCAAAGTGCATAGCTCTTTATGAGCTAGAGGAGAATCTTCACGTTAAAATCATAAAATGCTCTTCATTGGATGTTCCCATAATTTGCATAATTATGTCTGCATATCGACATTTTAGATATAATTGAAAATTCTTTATATAGATGGAACACTATGAAGCCTTTAAAATGAGAGAGATCTATATATAATGACATGCAAAAGTAAACGACATTATTCATTTTTTAAAAAGATTGCAGAACAACATGGTATGTATGGTATTGTCTTATCTGTATTTTAAAAAAATGTATTCTATATTCTTTATGCTTATAGACAATTTATGGGAGGGTACACAGGAAACTGCTAAAGTGGTTACCTCTGGCCCTGGCCTGTTTGGCTCAGCGGTTAGAGCGTCGGCCTGCGATCCAGAGAGACCCAGGTTCGGTTCCCACTAAGGGCATGTACCTCGGTTGCAGTTTGTCCCTAGCCCTGGTTGGTCGTGCCCTGGTTGGTCATGCGGGTGGCAGCCACTCGATGTGTACCTTTCACGTCGATGTTTCTCTCCCCCCCCCCCCAATTAAAAGAAAGAAAGAAAGAGAAAGAAAGAGAGGGAGGGAGGGAGGAAGGAAGGAAGGAAGGAAGGAAGGAAGGAAGGAAGGAAGGAAGGAAGGAAGGAAGGAAGGAAGGAAGATAGAGGAAAACTTCACCTTTTCTTTCCTTTGTGTAGCTGGAAATGTTTATCCTGAATGTACATAGCTTTAATAATGATGAACAAATGAACTTAAAAATTCCAGATGTATTATACATGTAGAGTTCTTACTATTCGTCTTTTTACTGAGGTTCACTTGGGTTATCAGCAGACATTAGAGAAACCTAATAATATTGGTGACACTGATGTTAATAGCTTTAAAGCCCATGTCTTAGAAAATACTTAGGAGTGGTTTTACTCTTTAAAGGTTTTTTTGAGGGAGAGAGGGTAGTGTGATGGTGTTTATATTATGTTAATTTATGAAGTAATAAGTTAATATAATAAATGCTGAAGCTCTAAAAATGTGTTAATTTGAAATTTAAAATTAAAATTGTATTTAAGGTTTTTCTAGCCAGTTAATTTCTAAAATAAACAGATATGGAAAAGTGTTTTGTGGTAGTTAAAATATTTTAGTAGGGTTATGCTGGATTATGCTACATTTCATATTTTTCAATGCTGTACTTTATATTACTTTTTCAGTACATTAAAACTTATGCAGTGAAACTGAATAATGGCAATGTTTTTATACCCTTTTATAGCCATTTCTTTTTCATAACCTCCCCCTATTTCCTGTTAACTAAACTATAAGCACCTTTCTGTTAATTTATGAAAATTATTGTTGAGATAGCACATTATCACTGATCTGTATGGCACTTTCAGCATGTTAGAAGCAAAAGTCCAAGCAACATAAAACACATCAAAATTCATTAATGTGGTATTGATTATTTTTTGGATAATTAATTTTATTGCAGACCCTTGAAAGAGATAATGAGCTGCAAAGGGGGAAGGTAAAAGAAAATGAAGTAAAGTTCCTTAATCTTCAAAATGAGCATGAGAAAGCACTGAGAACTTGGAAAAAGCATGTATGTTTATTAAATATTAAAATATTTGGAATAGTTGTCGACATTTAAAATAACTGTTAAATAAATGCTAAGGAAATATTGCAAAAATAATATAGGAATAAAGTCAGCCATATTTTCTTCTTGGAAGTGAATGCTTTATAAAAGCTAAATTTAATAAAATTTCCTGTAATACTTTTATGCACGAAAAACCGTGTGTGTGTGTGTGTGTGTGTGTGTGTGTAATTTGAATGACTTCCCATATGTGACAAAGAAAAATTAATTTAACTTTTCATAAAACCATTGCTAGTATTGTAGTAAATGATTAAAATAAAGAATTATATAGGTATTATTGCTGGCTGATCTTTTTAGCTTTCCTCAGCAGTTTTGTTGAAATGTATTAAAGCTATGTTTAGAACATTTATACAGTAGTTGAGTTCTATAGTGTTAACATTTCATCATAAGAATTGATGTTACAAACTTGGCTATTTTCTTAAACCACATCTGTTTGATACTAAATTTTAATTTTAGTGAAGTAGATAATAAAAGTGTAAAATGATGTAAAAGTGAAATACATAAAGGTTCACTTTAAAAATTGGTGAACCCCAAAATTGATTCTTCTGTTTTAATATATATTTTCATTGCCTTTCAATTATTTTATAAGAATTGACACAATAGAAAGTCACTATGAGTTTATAAAATCTATATTTTGGGAGAGTAAGATTATATTTTAGACTATTATACTAATTATACTATATTCTAATACCATACTAATATATTTTATACTAATATACTATATATCTAAATGCCAACTTGATAAAGTTTACTGTAGATGATTTTGTTTAAGTTATTATATAAGTGCTTAATTTTGCAGCTAACATATTCTCTTAATCTGTATTTGAGAGATCTTCATAATTTGATAAGCTTTCCCTAAATCTCAAAAAATATTTGGTCATTCATTGTATCAGAATGCTAAAAAATCCTCAATAATCTCTAATAAAGTTTATCATTAGGAACCAAGCATAGTAATAATATTTATTCATTGTGGCTCCTGCTAATCCACATTGTGTCCTGACACTTGCTTCATATTCCTAATGTGTAAAAGACCATGGAAATGGTAATCAGGATAAGGAAAAACTATAAAGTGAAAATAGAATATAGACTTAAATGTGCCAACCATGCATGCGAAAAAAAATTAGTTGAGCTGAGAAAATTAAACATTTATTTTTCTTGATGAGACCACAACCATACCTCTCCCTCGAGAAAAAAATCAATTGAATTAAAAATAAACATTCAGATTCACTGGTGAGGTCTCAATCTATAAATTTGGATAAAACTGGTTTTATTTTAGGATTTTTACCTTCTACAGTTATTTCACTTTTATATGCTTTAGTACTAAACAGCAAATAGATAAAATTTTAAAGCTGCTTTGGTTTTATAGTTTTCTTGAATGGAAGGTCAGCTCTGCTCTTTAATTGTATTTCTGTGTAAGTTTTTTCACTATTCTTGAGTGTATTGCCACTGACATTGGATCAAGTTAGGTTAAAAAAACAAAAAGATACAAAAATAATATGGAATCATATAAAATGTTTTGTAAAAAAAAAAGTGAAAGAAAATACAAATGAAATAGAGAACAGTTAGATTATTTATTTAAAATTATATATTTAAAATTCATTGAAATATAAAGATCAGTGTGACATGTATTTTTCATTTGACAAGATTTATGGGTAGCCAGTGGATAAGTATAGACAAAAAGACAGTACATGATGTTCAGAAATTATTAAAGGAAGGGGGAGGCCACAAAAGGAATCAAAATCACAGCATTTGTTGAGCATCTATTATCTTTTAGGCACTATACTAACTAGGTACTGGATTGTCAAAGATGCCTGATCAGAACAGTGAGAAAGGGGGGAGGAGGAGAGAGTAGTGCCATGAAAGTGAAGAAGAGAGACCGGTTCAAGAATGGTCAGTGGTTAGAGCATTGGCCCATGGGCCAAAGAGTCATGGGTTTGATTATGGCCAAGGGCACATACCTTGGTTGTGGTTCATCCCCAGCCCTGGTCGGGGCCATGCAGGAGGCAACCAATCAATGTGTCCCTCTCACATCGATGTTTCTCTCTGCCCCCCCTGCCCCAACTCTATCTAGAGATAAATGGAAACAATATCCTCAGGTGAGGATTAAAAAAAAAGAATTGAGACAGAGAATTGGGTCAATAAGAAGAAAATTAGGACTGTGAGAAGAGCATATTTGTGGGCTGAGGAGAACATGCTGGCATAGCAGGACAAATGAGGCAGGAGAGAAGACATCATTGCTAAAGCTAGGCACTGTGAGAACTGGGACAGGGTGTGATGAAGGACACATGGAGAGTTGAACCTGTCAACTTGCAGAGGTAGATCGAAAGATGATTAAAAACATAAAAATGAAGGGAAAAGAATAGGTGAGCTCATGTCTGTTAGGCTCTATAACAAATATCATATGCATTTGTGGAATTTTTGGTAGTTTAAAATAGTTCAAGAGAAACTTTTATAATCTTTCATGAGAAAAGGGTATTTATCTCCTCAATGAAACTTTATTTCATATTTGAGGTCCCCATGAAAGAATATTCCCCCAAGAAAAAGGTTATGAAAGTTTATAACCAGTCAAAGCCCGTTTATAGATGTAAATATTAGGCTGAAGAGTCAGTTCTATTGTACTACTTAGTACTCAGTACTTTTCATGTAGTTGAATTAAAATCTGTGTATCTGCCCTGGCCGGTTTGGCTCAGCGGTTGGAGCGTCCACCTGCGGTCCGGAGAGACCCGGGTTCGGTTCCCGCTAAGGGCATGTACCTCGGTTGCAGTTTGTCCCCGGCCCTGGTTGGTCGTGCGGGTGGCAGCCACTCGATGTGTCCCTTTCACGTCGATGTTTCCCTCTCTCTCTCTTCCTCTCTCTCCCTCCCACTCTATCTGTACAAAAAATGGAAAAATGTCCTCGGATGAGGATTAAAAAATAAATAAATAAATAAATAAAAGAATTATCCTTTTTGTAAAAAAAAAAAAAGATCTGTGTATCTAATATGCAACAAGAAAATAAAAATTTTAAAAAGCAATGAAGGCCTGGCCTGTGTGGCTCAGTGGATTGAGCAGTGAGTGTCCCAGGGACTGAGACGTCCCAGTTCAATTCCCAGTCAAGGCATATGCAGGAGGCAGCCAATCGATGTTTCTCTCTCACATCGATGTTTCTATCTCTCTCGCCCTTCCCCTCTCTCTAAAATCAATAAAAACATATTTTTAAAAAAGCAATGAAAGTATAACTTTTATAGAATTTTTAGGATTAATAGTAAGTTTTCATTTGTAACTAGAGGTGGTTTAATGTAGCAGTGAAGAACACAACCCCTAGATTTAGCTTTGGATTTGAATCCTACCACTTTATAGCCACCTGATCTTTGGCACATTATTTAATTTAATGTCTGCAAGCTTCACATTTCTCACCTATAAACTGGGGATTGAAAATGCCTCCTAGGATTTTTTTTTTTTTTTTTTAGTATGAAATTGATAATATTAAGTGCTCAGTGCAATTCAATAAATGATAATATTAGTAACTACTTTGGGAGTTTTCATTTTTTATTATTTCCCAAAACTTGTGTTAATATTTTCATACAAAACCCATTTTTATATGTGCTCATTTTGACTACATTTTATATTAGGTTGAAGAACTTAATGGAGAAATTAATGAGATTAAAAATGAGTTATCATCACTTAAAGAAACTCATATTAAGTTACAAGAACATTACAATGAATTATGTGATCAGAAGTTTGAGGAAGACAGGAAGTTCCAGGTAACATTCAAGTATTTTGGGGTACAAACTGTTAAATAAAGTAGGGCAAGGGTTCCCTTTTCTCCATATCCTTGCCAATATGTTGTTTGTTGACTTTTTGATAATAGCTACTCTGACTGTTGGTATCTCACTGCTGTTTTGATTTGCATTTCCCTGATGATTAATGGTGTTGAGCATCTTTTCATGTCTATTGGCCGCCTGTCTGCTCTGGAGAAATATTTATGTATGTCTTCTGCCCATTTTTAATCCAATTGTTTATTATTATTGAGTTCCTTATGTCTTGAATATCAACCCTTATTACATATATCATTCATGAATATATTCTTCGGTTTAGGGTTTGTTTTGTTTTGTTCATGTTTTCCTTTACAGCTTTTTTTAGTTTGATAAAGTCCCATTTGTTTATTTTTGCTTTTGTTTCCCTTGCTCCAAGGGACATATCCAAAAAGATATTACTAAGACTTATATCAGATTGTTTACTACCTTTTTTCTAGAAGTTTTATGTCTTACATTTAAGTCTTTCATTGGTCAGCTCATTATTCACCTTGTCTGAAACCCTTCCATGACTTCTCATTGTCTTCCTGGTAGTTGGAACTCCTTAGTGAGCTGTATTAGGTAATGACCTTGGCCTAGCTTGCCTCAAGCCTTATTTTTCTGTTCTTCTCCTAGCATGTAGTTCTAGCTAAAGCAAACCACAAGCAGTTCTATAAAGAATATAATCTTGCTTGCTTTTAAGCACCTGTACATGCCATTTGTTCTCTCTAGAAGTGCCCACTTATCCCTGTCTATATTCAAGTTGCCTGTTACTTCTTATTCTGTCTTCCCCCTTGGACTGATACATTTTTGAGGATAGGGACTGTATTTTTTTTTTGGTCATTGTACCTCAAAGCTTAGTGCAGTGTTCCCATGTATTGTGTGCTTAGTATACAGGGGGAATAAAAGGATGTTGAACTGATTCACTCTTTTAAAGGTACATAAAAAGGCAAGACTATGCCAGCACAACTACCTTGCTTTTAATAATGATTCTATTATTCCATATAATGTATGGTATTATATAATAATGGGGAATGAATATTTGAAAATATCTAAAGGTCTCTATTTTGCTTAAATATGATAGATTATATATAGAGAGAATAAACTTAAAGTGATCTAATTATAAATAGTATTAAATTTAATTAAAAAGTCATTTGGCTTTCAAATAGAAATTGCTGAATGGTTAAATTGAAACAGATTCCATTTTTATCAGCACAATCAGTTTAAATGTTTTATACTTTTTAATCTGTTTTTACATTAAAGGAATCTTTTCCATTTTACACTAGAACCTTCCAGAAGTAAATACTGAAAACAGTGAAATGTCAATGGAAATATCACAAAACATAGAGAAATATAATTCTGGGCAAGAAATAAGGGAAGAAAATACTGTGAGTTTCTATTTAGATACTGAATATCAAGAAAAGGAGGAAAAGAAAGAAGATCCACTTACAGAAGAAATCATTATAGAAGGTAACTAAGGTTATATTGTTATTTTCTAATTTGTATATTGAGCTTGTAAAGGAATATCAATTACAGCCTTTGCTTTGAGGATCTTATAGTGTAGTTGGAGAAATCTTTATTTGTATAAATCTTAACAAAAGAGCTATTCTTAACAGTTACTATTTGGGGTGGGGGAGCACATTTCTGCCTTCCCTTCTCATTACTTCTTTGCTTTTTGCACTTTGGTTTCTGCCTTCACTGCTTTGCTGAGAATGTCCTAATGGGCTACCAATAACCTTCTGATGTAGATCATGTTTCTTCATTCAGATAACCTTTCTATAACCATTAAAATAATTTACAAATTCGTCCAGCTTGAAAAAGAATTGTTTAAAGACAGTACTGATTGTTTGAAGGTGTTCAAAACTAGGCTGAACAACCACTTGGTGGAGATGTTGTAGAGAGAATGATTGGACTGAAAAAGCCCTACAAGCCCTGAACTGTATATTCCAGATTATTGTGACTCTACTGAAATTTTAAAATCTATGGTTGGAACCTAGATGAATAAAATTAATGTCTTAAGTAGCTATTCTATATACACTTGGCCAAAATATTCCAAAATTTAAAAATGTTTACATGGTAGTGAAAAGTGATGATAGTGTTAAAGAACCAGCTAGCTATTTCTAGATCTAAGTAGTAATAGAAATTAGAGTATTACCTGTTAGGATAAATTGACTTTTATCTAATGTTATGTGTTTATGTGGACTTGTACTGTATGCCCAAAAGGAAATAACAGGCTAAAAAAAAAAAACAACTTGTGATACCCTCAACCTCTCCTGTTTTCAACCAAAAATACTTTTACTTTTTTAGTGTATCATATAAAAATTTATTGTGTTCTCATCATGACAGATTTACAGCATATTGAAAAGATCTCCAAGAATGAAATTGATACTACTGTACCTCAAGACGAAAATCAAAGCAAAATCTCCCTAAGCAAAACCCTCTGCACAGAAAAAAAATTAATTAGTCAAGGACAAACCTTGAATATTACAGACTTTAGAAAAGCAGTTACTACAAAAATAAAAGACAAGGTGGGCCTGGAAAAAGACAATGGGTGTACAGAATTTAAATCACCAAATAATTCTTTTTTAGTGGCAGATATATCAATAGAAACAGAGAACATACACACAGAAAGAACTGAAGGATTCAATGTTCACTGTTCAGATTTACATCTGGAAGTTGAAAGTAACAGAACATCATTTAACAGTGTCTTAAATGAGATGGCTAACAGTACAAATCATAAAAAAGGTGTTTCTGAACAACAGTTCAGATTGCTTCCAGGGACTCAAGAAAATATCACAAAGAAGGAAATTACAAATAGTGACCAAACCAAAACAGATTTGGATTCATCTCTGGATGTAAAAAAGAATCCTGTTCAGTGTCAGAAATACAGTTTGCGTGAGTCAAGTAATGACAGCTTAGATGACAAACAGTGTGAAACAGAACAAATACAATTGTTAAATAAAAAAAATGAGTGCAGTACATTGCCATTTAAACAAACTTCAGAGAAACCTGAACGAACTATTCCCTGTGATGTTGCAATCAACCATCCCGGTTCATCTGCTGTTTTCAGTGATAATTTGAAAGTATTTCTTAAGAATTCAGATAAAAATGTGAATATTATACCTGTGTTGGCGAAACCCAACTCAAGCCCTGGGAAAAGAGCTGCATGTAAAAATCTGAATGACACACAAAACAGTCCATTTAAGAACTGTTTGGGATATTTAGAAAACAATGTGAACATTTCCCATCTTCAAGTTAACAATGAGAGTGTACATGCTTCACAAGCCAAAGACTTGAAAACTGCTGTTCACATGAAAACTTCCACAGAAGTACAGTTTTCCAACAAAGAGAGTCATGTGGATGAGAATCAGTTAACTGAAGCCACAAAAAATGACCTTTTCCTGTTTGTGGATGTTAATGAAAGACAGCATACATTGTTAAATAATACTGAGAAAACAGAGTCATTAAAAGACATCGTTTTAGGAAAAATTTACAGTGAAGGACAGCTAGAAGAATCATGTTCTTTTCACATAAAGCCATCTGGAGATTTAGTAAACATAAGTGGAAAGTCAGCCTTTGATCTTTCAACTTCAGATAAAAAAACTGAGAAAACTGCAGTATATGTGAATTTTTTAGACCCCAGTCCTCGGTCAAAAGTAAATCAAACTGAAAGTCAAACGGCGAGCACTTCAACTTCTGGCATTCCCTTGTTGCTGCACGAGAGACCAATAGGACCATCAGAAAACAAAAAGATTGTTTCAATGACACTTTGTAAAAATGTGGGTGTGGATGATGTCAGAAAGAGTATTGGGCCAGGTAAGAAAACCAGGTTTGTTTTCTTTTAAAATTTGTTATTTCTATTTAATATTCTTGGTAAAAGTTCTCCAGATTATGTTTAAAATGAAAACATATATTATTTATTTATTGCCTAAACTTAAAATACTCCATATATAGTAAAAGTAGTAAAGGTTTTACTTAAGTGAAAGATTTCTTTTCACCTAAATCTGAACCAGTATTATCAACATGTACTGAGGTACAATTGCATTTTGGAAATGAAAAAAAAAATCATCAATGAACTGAAAATAACAACCACCACAGGTCCAGGTGACTAATTTTAAATTAGGAACAGCTACCTAATCTGAGGTCTTTATTTTCTAGAGCAAATGCAGTAAATTGAGGTAAGGCTTCTTCCAGTGCACGTTTATCCCTTAAAAAACAAAAAACCACCACCAAAAAAAAAAATCACACTTCCTTCCCTCAGAACCACATTTTGTCACTTACCTCCCCCAATTATTCCCTTTCCTTCATTTTTCTATTTTATGTCCCTTCACCAGCACAAATCCAGCTCTTTTGTTTTACAATATTGAAGTATAACATGAATACATTTCAAATCATTGCTGTTTGTCACTGAAACACTTTAAATTGAACCCCTTAAAAATTATGTACCTATATTATTATTCAAATGCTTAATATTTCAGACAGTTCTGTTCTTTAAAACTACCAGATGAAGTTTTGCTTTAAAAATACACCACAATTTAATAAATAGAGGGAAAGCTAAATGGAAGAAAGATGTATGACTTAATATGGATGGGTATTGAAGCTGGGTAATGGTTACATTGAAATTCATACTCTATACTTTGGTGTACTTGAAATTTTTCATATTAAAAATATATCACAAATCTTGTATAGGTGCTGTATAAATGTAACTTGAAGATAACAATGAACAATAGTTTAAGAAATATGATCATGAGGGAAATGTTTACTTTGCCAATAGCAAAGTTGTTTAGGTTGTTGAAGACAGTCTTAGATTTTATTTTCATTGTTATTAAATCCTCACCCAAGGATATTTTCCCATTTATCTTCAGATAGAGTGGGAGGGAGAGGGAGAGAGCGAGAAACATCGATGTGAGAGAGATACATCAGTTGGTTGCCTCCTGCACAACCGCAACTGAGGTACATGCCCTTGACCAGAATCAAACCTGAGATTCTTTGGTCTGCAGGCTGACGCTGTAACTGCTGAGGCAAACTGGACAGGGCAAGATAGTCTTAGATTTTAAGGGACTTTACCTGTTTAACAATATGCATTTAGACCTATTAAAAGAAATGCTGATTGCCTAGCTGGTGTGGCCCAGTGGTTGAGCATTGACCCATACCAGGAGGTCTCGGCTCAATTCCCAGTCAGGACACATGCTCAGGTTATGGGCCTGATCCCCAGTGGGGGGTGTGCAGGAGGCAGCCAATCGATGTTCTCTCTCATCAGTGTTTGTCTCTCTCTCCCTCTCCCTCTCCCTTCCTCTCTCTCTAAAATCAATGAAGATAAAAAAGTTAAAATAAAAAAGAAATGCAGATTACAAGGAGAGCTTTGCCTGACCCTCAGACTTGCCAGGCTTCTTTTATTTTTATTTTAAAAATATTTTTTCTTTATTGATTTTAGAAAGAAAAAGGGAAAGGGAGGGAGAGAAACACTGATGAGAGAGAACATAGACTGGCTGCCTCCTGCATGCCCCCCACTGGGGATCGTGCCCACAACCTGGGCATGTGCCCTGACCGGGAATTGAACCAGCAACCTCTTGGTGCCTGGGTCGACGCTCAACCACTGAGCCACACCAGCCGGGCTTGCCAGGCTTCTTTTAAAAGAGAGTATTTTAAAGGGAAAGACAGAACTAAAAGCAAAATAAGTACTTCTTGCTTATCAAATGCTGTGGTTAGCCAAGTGCTATTAGTCAAGGATCTGGTCTAATGTTTACCATTTTCTCACAGGTCCTTCTAATTAAATCTCAATGATTATAAATAGTAAGAATGGAAGGGGGAGATGGCAAAGCACTCGAACTCATAAAAGATTCTCATAAATACCTTTTAACCTTCAAAGTAGACGTGCTTCTCTACATTACTTTTATCTATTTATTAAATATTAGACAGCCCTTTGTTGGGAATCTTACTATGGCCAATTTCTTTTCATCTGAATTGGTAAGATGTTCACTATATAAATGTTTACATGTACTGGCAATGTAGTTAACGGGGGAATAAGGATAACACTTTTTATAAGACATTTATACCATTTCACTCATTTTAATGTAGTACCAGGTTTTAGAAAGTAGCAGTAAAACTTTGTTTTCTGAAGTAAAATGACTAACGTAAGAGCAAAGTAGAAAAAGTTCTAAGTGAAAAGAAAATAGAAATTGTTACTTTTTAAATACAAAAGCATAGAATGAGAGAAAAACAAGTTCAGCCAGTAGGATGAGTGCCTGGAGAATAAAATTCAGTTGTTGCCATTTCCTCTTTGTCAAGCAGATACTACCAGCATTAACAGAGTTGCTGACACTTTGAATAACTCCACTATCCATCCAGATCCCAAGGGAGAGCCCAGTGAAGAGAGGAATGCAATTGCAAAGGCTTTTTATGATTCTTCTTTTCCCACAGAACATGTAAGTCAATTAAAAATATTGCCAAGCAGACCTTAGTGAGCTAATTCTACAGATATGTGTAGAACTGTATGCATCTGGATGCTTTAAGACCTAACTGATCTCCAAAATAATATCAAGAGGGCAGCATGGCACCATTTTTCACAATTAAGGTTGATGGAAAACAGCAGGAAAAAGTCACAGTGTATAAATCAAATAGATATAATCCAGCCTGTTTTGGGAAGGAGAGTGTGAGGTAGTGTATTATGTATTTCTATATTTTAGTCACTTAAATTTAGAAATAGTAGCATTTGAACATTTATTTAAACTTAAAATGTTCACTAGTTTGAGCATTTAAAATTTTATCATAATTAAAGATGCCTTACATAATCTAATCATAATAAATTCAGCTATTTTTAGTAGTTCTTAATGTAATTTACATTTTGGGAAACTGTTGTGAAGGAAATTTATTTTAAATTATTTCATTTAGAATACAGAATAGTGAAAGGACCAAATATCCATAAATATATGATATCAAGTATGAATGTAAATATTAAGCAAAGTATTTGTAGAGATTATATGGCTCCAGGAGTCCTTTTGTCATATGAAAAGCAACTAACTACAGCTGACAGATTTTTGGGTAAAATTTGTAAGTTTTTTTTATCTTAGTTTGCAAAACTTTAGTGCAAAAAAGGCTACAATGCTCAAAGTGAAAAAACAAAAACCCATACCAATTATAGGTATAACTTCTAAAAGATAACCTAAAAAGGTTAGGAAAGGTTATTTTAAAAAATGCATAGTGAGTCCTGGCCAGTTTGGCTCAGCGGTTAGAGTGTCGGCCTACTGTCCAGAGGGACCCGGGTTTGGTTTCCTCTAAGGGCGTGTACCTCAGTTGCAGTTTGTACCCGGCCCTGGCTGGTGGTGCGGGTGGCAGCCACTCGATGTGTCCCTTTCATGTCGATGTTTCTCTCTCTCTCTCTCCCCCCCCACTCTATCTGAACAAAAAAATGGAAAGTTACTATATTGTTTTAAATGTTAGAGATTCACATTAAGCAACTTTCTCTTTAGCACATATAAGATGAATTATAACACTAACAAAGTCTTAATATATAACAGCTTTTCACAATAAATTTCATTTTCCTTTTAAATATGAGACACCCCCACTGAGATAGTATAACTCCTTTTGGGAGGGTTCAAAGTAAAATCAGGACCCACCTTTTCATCATTGCATCAGCATAAATAGTTTCAGCTTGATGTACACAAATGTGTATTTTTAAAAGATGGTAACTAAAGTCCAGTAAATCTGGAAAATCCCTGGCCAACTAGGTAAGTTAGTGAATCAAAGTAAAAAGAAAAAGCTAGACACCAATTTCTAATTAGACTGAATACTTAACACTTATAATTGTCCTGTTTTCAAACGGTTTAAGGGTATGATGGAAATTTCATGTCTCCCTTTCAAACCCATTTATAATTAACCCAGCAGTTCTGTGTCTAATTGCTAATGCTTTTCTTGCAATTAATGTTTTTAAAAATTTACGTTCATAGAATTAAAACTTTTCAAAGAAATAGTCCCACAATAGTCCTGTAAGGTACATCTATTTTACAGATGAGTAAGCAGTGAAGAAATGTGAAATAACTTTCCAAAGAATTGAGACACTATTTGTGATGGACTTAAACTAGGTCTCTTGGCTCTTAGTCAAATGCTATCTACTTTCTCAACTGTCATAATAGAAAAAAAAGTTTCTTTTCAAAATACTAGTGCATGTAAAACAAACCCAGCTCAATGGCTAAACAGACACTTTCCAGATGTTTTACTATATGTTAAGCATTATGCTAAGTACCACCATCTCCACCAAAGCTTAATTACCAGTTAACACATTTAAAAGCAGATCTTTTGCCTAGACTACTGAAAATGCTGTTATCCCTGCATTAAGCCAGACAAATCTAGTCTCTTTTTGAAGTCTGTTTACTTGCTCCTTAATATGTTCCACTTTTCTAAATCAGGCTGTCAAGTGACAGCTGGTGGGCCAAATGCAGCCCCCTGCCTCATTTTAGCAAGTACGATTTTATTGGAGCACAGTCACAGCCATTCCTTTACCTGTTGTCTATGACAAGCAGTTGTGAGGGAAGCCACTTGGCCCACAAAGCCAAAACACTCCTGGCTCTTTACAGAGAAGTTTGCCAACCCTTGTTCTAAGTGAATTTTACGAAGACTTACAGCCAGAAAGGGAATAAAACTCTATACTTTTCAACATATTTTTAGGTACATTCTCAACACCAGTCCTGTAAAATTTTAGGTATTATGAGCTAATCCACCTTTTTTGTTCTTGGAGGGGTTAGGTTGGTAGCCTGCTGCAATTTTGATCATACCTAAGAATGAGGATGGGAAAGAGGGGCTGCAGTAAGCAAAGAAAGCCACTTTACACATCCAGTGAATTAGGTTCATTTAAGTTAAATTTTAAAATGCAGCCCCAGGGCTGGTACTAGATCTTTTGAGCCAGGCAGAAGGAGGTTAGGTGAGAGAAAGGAAGGAGCAAGGATAGGTGGCAACATATTTAGAAGTAGAATTACTGCTGTATGCTGCAAAATCTGTTAAGCTAAAAAGGACACATTTCATTAAAATGTTTCTCTCTACAGCTAGTTCCTGCTCCTTCCCCTCCAACCAAGTAAGTAGCTCAGGGATAAAAACTAAAACAGATATGTATAAATGTCTCATTTCTTTCCATCATCAAGATAGAAAGTCAAAGAATCAGGATTTTGGAAAATGGGGTGATTTGTACTTGATGTCAAATGTATCAAGCATTTTGGTGGCAAAACAACCATTAATCATAGGTCATCCATCATTTAACTTCAAAATCAGTAGCAACCTAGATTTGATATATTTCTGCACATCAGTATTGCGTAGGCGACTTGTAAACTCATTTTGGCCCTGTAAGCTAAATGAAGTGTGAACACACTTATATGCCAGACATGATCAGAAATACACATTTATACACTTTTATTCATGATCGTTTTTTGGGTGTTTTTTAATCCTCACCCAAGGACATGCTTTTATTGATTTTAGAGAGAGGGAAGAGTGAAACATCAATGTGCGAGTGAACATCAGTTCATGCGCCTTGACCAGGGATCAAACCCACAACTTGGGTATGTGCATGAGTGGCAGTCTTCGACCTTCTGGTGTGTGGGGATGACACTCCAACCAACTGAGCCTCACTGGCCAGGGCACCAGTTATTATTTACAATAGCATTTTGTAACTAAAAGGAGTGATGAAAAAACTAAGGCTCACAAAAGTTAAATGACGTCCCTAGTCTCTTGGCAGATCTTGTCAACACTTTTATTTTCGTCTGTTATTTTGTAAGAACACTGGCAATCAGACTAATATGAACATAGCATCCTAAGGATCAGAGGCTAGGACTTTGAGGGGACATGTGGCTGACGGTAGAATTCTCAGGAGACTAAAAGAGCAGTCCTTAAAGAACTGAGATCAAATAGAAACATTTAAGACCATATAAGAAACAATTACAACTTCTTTGAAAACAACTTTCTGAATATGCCACTTTTACCAGTGCAATTGGAAAAGATGTATATAAGGCAATATTCAAAGATCTTCAAAAATTTAGGAATAAATGACATTATTCATCATAGCCTAATTTACAACAATAAAGGTTTTCCAGCAACTTAAATGTCCATCAATATATTAAATATGGAACATGGAATATACTGGAGTCATGTTCTTAATAGACTTTTAATAGAAGGAAATGCTAAAAATGTTTTTAACACAGCATACAAAATATATGATTCTAAATTTTAAAAAAGTGTGTATACACAGAAGAGACCAGAATATTTATGTTAAATTGCTTAATGGTGGTTGGAATCTTGGGTAACTTTAGTGTAATTCTTATCCTTTTCCCTATTTCTAAAATATAATATTCCCTTTTAACAATAGGTTCTATCTGGTAATCTGAGAAGACCATGAAAGACTCTTTTAAAGAAATTAATTCAAATTATTTGATAGGGGTAAACTGAAACAAAAATTCAATTAGGAGATAAATTACCACATATCCACAAAAGGGAGTATTTTACAGCCCCTGACAATAGTTTATAAGAAATTTTAATGACCTAGGAAACAGCTCAGAGGGAAAAGCAAAGATACAAAATTCTAGAAAATGATTGATCAATTATATTAAAAATAGAAAAAAATACTAGCAGCAAACAGTACCAAAATGTTGACAAGGTCTCTCTGGATAGTGGATTACTACTGATTTTTAGTTACTTTATTTTCCAAATTTCCAATATTTTATTATCAGAAAAAAAAACCCTTAAAATGAAAAACATTTTTAGCACAGTATTATAAGTATAACCCAATGCAGTGCTTTGGAAACATGCCAACTTCCAAATACTGCACTGTTCTTTGTTTCTCCAAAAATGGTGCTCTGAAGCATGAGAGGAAACATGAAGTAAAGGCAGTTTTTATATGGTAGTTTACATCTGTTAGCATTTTTAATTTCCCCTTGTTTTGATAGAAGATACAAAACATAGACATGTTTGGGAAGAGAAGGGAGTAGAAGACAAAACAGATTTTTATCTGCCTATTTTAAATATCTTTTCTTTCAATGTAAGCTCAAGACCATTTAGGAAATGTTGTGGTATTCCTGGAATATATTAAGAGATCTTGAAAAGCTGTTACATAAGCCTACGAATTCACATTTTATACTTTTTCGTGCCAACACCAGTAGTTGGAAATAAGCCAAGAAAATGGCAGTTCAATCACATGCTCATCATCACAAAAACTCTTTTGTTGATGTTTAGAAAATAAGTAATAATTTCAGTGGTTAAACAAGTTTGGTCTTTCCTAGGTGAAAATAAAGCCTCTGAAATCAAATCTACAAAGCCATGTTCAGGCTCTCAAGATTAAAGATACTACTGATTTAACTGAGTCTTCTACTGGTGAAGGCGACTGGCAGAGCCTGATAACAAATCAAATCAAAGAGATCGAAAAGTTCCTAACCTTAGAAAATGACAACCAATCTAAAAAAAGAAAAGCAGAAGAGATGTTGGAAAAAACAGATTAAAATAATGCTTTCAGTGGTGAACTACAGTACTGATGTGGTTTTGACTAGAGCAAAATGACTGTTACATCTAAAGCTTTACATCTGTACTCACTTTTCCAACTTTTTCTGGTGTGATGTTGCATTAACTATTATGGTTTTTGCCCAGCAAATTAAGATAACTAAGACCTCAAGGTTGTTGTTAGCACCTAATTCCCCTTAAATTTGTTACACCTTCAAAACCCTTCCTTATAGAACACAACTTACGTATTATGCAAGATAGACAATGACCCTTTGCAATTTATTACATTGTATCCTTTGAAGATTGTGATTTCTTTTGAATTTGAAGCAATAAATGTTCAGACTGTAGTCAGATTTCAGCTTATAATGTTTTACTATCATTTAGATATTTTCCCCAAAAGAAAAAATTTATAGCATAAAAATTCAGGTATCAGAAAGACTCAAAAGGCTGTTTTTCACTTTGTTCAAGTTTTGTTTCCAGGCATTAAGTGTGTCATACAGTTGTTGCCATTGCTGTTTTCCAAATGTCCGATGTGTGCTATGACTAAAAATTGAAAAATTAAAAGTCATTAGTCAACCTTTAATCCTCTGGTATTCTTTTACAATACTACACATTTGTAATCTAGTCAAAAGCAAGGTTAAATATGCATAAGACAATTTAGAACTGTAAGAGAAAATGAGCAGCTTATTTAAAAAAAATCTTTATCATATTGATCCTGAACCTTTATTTTTCTGAATTACAAAAACCAGACACAAAAGTCATTAGTATTCTAGCCAATGCTGAGCCATTAAATGAAATGTGCTGGAAAATAGGACTTTCATTAAATAAGCTAATCACATTCAGTCTGAACTTTAATAAAATTATGATAAATAGCAACTATTTAACTACAGTCAACTTATAAGAACACCACCTTGGTTCTCTAAACATTTAAGTGAAATAATCCCAACAAACTAAAGTGTCTTACCTGACAACTACTTTTCTCTGGGTCTGATCAATTTTGCAGTAGACCATTTTTGTTTTCACTGCTGGAAAAAGATGTTTTGCATGATATATTATATGTAAATTAACAAGAAAAATAGCCTAAGGTATGAAACTGACCAATTAAGCTAAAGCAAACTTTACATTTTCCAATATTATTTTATAAACTGGCTCTGAATCTAACAGCAAGCACAGCAATATGATGCGACCAAGAGGAAGGTCATGCATTTATTTATCCTATGGTTGCTGGGCAACCATATCAAATATCACATACAGTTTTCATTAAGAATTCTAGATGTTCTCCTCCACAATCACACACTGGAGGAGGAGACTAATTTCCTAATAAGGTATTTTTTTATAGGTATGGTTAAGACTTAGAGCACTAGAAGCCATGTCAGTAGTTCTGTTCATTTTATTAATCTTAATTATACAATCCCTCAAACTTAAAAGGCTCAGAAAAGAAATCCTGATTAACAGTTAAATTACTTTATAATACAATTTTTGGAGAAGAAGGTCCTGCTTCTAGGCCAATCATAAACTGGTAACATTTGCAGAACATATATACTATATGCCAGGCACTGGGCTAAGTGTTTTACCTGCATTAATTCACTTAATCCTCACAATTACAAATTACTCCACTCCTATATTCCTGTTTCACAGGGGAAGACCTAGTCTTAAATCCAGGTCTGATACAAAAATATAGGTATACCACACCTAAAGGCCTTTGTTCTATATGACTTCAAGGGATAGAACACACACAAAAAAACACACAGCAATTTATATTTCCACTGAATTTTCAGTCTACTACAATTATAATCTATTCATCTGCTATACATACACACTTGCTACAAAATAATCTTGCTTTGTTAGCATACGGCTCGATTTCAAGACTAAAAATCTTATATTCCATGGGGAAAAAGACAGATAATAGGGAAAAAAAAGAATATGTTCTAATTGCCTTACCATCAATAACAAATGCTTCAACATCATCAGCTCCAATCTGAAGTTCCTGTTGCATTGTATCAAAGGAAATTTCTTTATTTTCCACTGCCATTCCCATAAAAGTAAGTAGTCTCATTTTTGCCATATTCTGTTCATGTAATAGTCCTGCATAACAACATAATGAAATCTAGTAAGTAGAAATGCTAATAAAAGACCTATAGTTACAACTCTTGTGTTAAATTGTGGAACTCACTGTGTTTGAGCAGTTTTATACAGAGTAATTTTGACAAAGCTTTATATATTTTCAAACCATAAATTGACCTCATAATTAGATTCTTTCTCTAGAACTACATTTCTTTATTACTACAGTGCCATTAGTAATAGATTCAAAGTTAAGAATGGGCTATAAAATGGTATTTTTAGGACCTAAAAGATTTTTACATCTTAACATTTTTTCTTTAAATTTTTTTTCCCTTTATTGATTTTGAGAGAGAGAGGAAGTAACAAGGAGAGAGATAGAAACATCAGTGAAAGAGAACATTGACTGGCTGCCTCCTGCATGCACCCCCCACTACCACCAGGGATCGGGCCCACAACCTGGGCATGTGTCCAGGAATCAAACCAGCAACCTTTTGGTGCACGGGTTGACGCTCAGCCACTGAGCCACACCAGCCAGACTACATCTGAACAATTTTTAATATTTATACACTTTAGAAGATAAAATGTACAAAATGCATTTCATAAGAAACATTTTTATCTACCTGAATTACTTAAGCTTATTTTTACTAACAGCTCTCTTATTTAAATGAAGGATTCCTTATCTACTTATAATTTGTTCTGTATTTTACTGGTAAACATGGAGTTTAAAAACATTTTCATACAGATTGTCATGAAAACATTCCATTTCCCTTCTGGTTACTTTGGATTTAGTATTAAAAGTCAAAACTGTAAAAGCGTGTTCATCACTTAACATTTACAGGCTAAGATGATTAGTACTAGAAAAAATTTAACAGTACCATTAACATACTTGTTCTTTACAAGGCATAAGTAGAAAACTGTATTCAATTCAATTTTCTGCATTCTAATTTCTAATGCAACATGATCTTATAATTATTCATATCAAAAACAACTGTTAGATCTAAAAGGAAACTTTACAAATTACCTGATCCTAATGCTTTCACTTTAAAAAATAATAAAATTGAGTAAAATGAAATGGCTTACTTATTAGTCACAAAGTAGCAGTACCAGGCCTCAAAAATATAGGTTCATTTATAAGATAAATGACTTGAAATATAAAATATTTATAAAGCCTGAATATCCAAATATTTACATATTCCGAAGTAGAAGCTAAATTATATCATATACACTTGATTTGATGCTAACTTATTAACTATAAAAACAAGTTTCTAAAATTAATCTAGAATTACATGTCCCTTTTCTCTGAACTTTCAAATTATGTAAACTCACCAAATGATCATTATGCTGTAGTAATTAAGTGCCTCAAGTTTGTATTGTTAAAAAAAAAAGTTCTCTCTAAGCACTCCATAAATAAATTTGAAATGTGTAACATTCATATATTAGCAGATGACTAGGGAAGTCCATTAATAATGCCTGTTAATTAGCTGTAATTATGATGCAGGCTTTCTATTTGGCACAGATTCAACAAAAACACGATCATCATAACTCAAATGAATGAGGTACCCAAGTAAGTATTGCTAACCAGTTTTAATGGAAGTCTACAAGCATCAAAAAAATCAATTAGTGCACATTAACCCTAATTAACAAATGAAAATTAGATGCTGATTAACTTTCTGAAGCAAGAAGGTAGCAACAGGATAACACCAGATTACATGTGAACATGTTAGGGCAATTCAGATGACACAAGATAATGCTACTGTTGGCCCAAATTGTCAGTGTTAATAAAACAAAGTGTTTTGATAAACTATTACCACCTGTGGAATATACAGATTTTGTAACCAGACTTTAAACTGTAATAAATGTCTAATAATATATCTAAAACTAAAAATATACAATATGATGTTTTCCTCAAAACACCTTTTACAAATTTCTAATAAAATATTGCTAATTTGCATACAGGTTCAAGAAACAAAAGGCAAAACAGAGAATTTGATTTTCGGTTGGCACAAATAAATAAGAAATACTGTTTTTCCTGTCACAGAGAACAAATACTAAAGGTTTTTCTCAGTAGGAAAATTCCTTAACATTCTCAATTCTATGGGCATATATAATTCCTTTTTAATATGTTAAAATTATAGAAACTCCTCAAATTTCTAAGATATAATTAAAAATACTCTTGAAATAAAATTTTACTGCTATAATTACAAGCTTACCATAAATCAAAAAACTTATCAAAGGAATGAAAATTATTTCTAGAATAAATTATGTAAAACCATTATATATTGTACATGGGGGAACCCGTTTAAAAACATTTCAAATTCATGTTTAAAGTCACTACTACTTCAAAAGAAATCACCAAACTTATAGCCTTTGAGACTCTTGCTCTCAAAATCAAGCTATTAAGCCAGTGAAGTATGAGTTAAAGACTTGTAGGAAGCTGTGCTTTATTTCATAAAAGTAGAACATTACCTTCAAAGAGGAAGTCCCAGTGTTCTGTGTCATATTTCAATTTTAAAGTTATAAAAAAATCTAATTTTATGGAAACATTTATTCATTACTAATATGTCAAAACCTTAATGCAGTAATAAAAAAATGTGCATCATTGAGCAATTTCTGCATTGTCACTGACCCCTGCCTTAAAATGCTGCAATATAGAAAACGTAATTTTAATGCATGCAATAGCTTATGAACCTGTGCTCCTTTGAAACAGTCAATTACACATCAATGGGGGAGTGTCAAAGTGTTAATTACTACTCCTTTTTCCTTGGTGAGTAAATAAAGAGGTTGCTGACATTAACATTCCATCACATAGCTTCATGCCACAAAACAAATTAACTGGGACAGAATGTGGTTTTCTGGGTCCAGTGCACCTGGCAAAGCATTCTACACAAACACACTCGCATCTACTTTATCTTGGTGTATTTCAAATGCCTTATTATGTTCA